GTCAAATATAGCAACCTGCTATGGGAAGGGAACTTTTATGCCTTTAAATAAGCGACCAGTTGAAATTGTTGTACATTTGAATGTCAATAATTAGGTTGCATAAAATATAATAATAAATATGGCTAATATTTCCAATATGGACCATCGATTTCAAAGCCCATATTTTTTTTGTAGATAGTACTCACTAAAAGAAAGCGTTTTGCAAAGTTTTAGGTTGCGGAAACTTACGGTTCATGAGATATATTTTTTAAACTTTTCATACAAATTGGTAAATAACACGCAATTACAAAATAAATTTGACAAATTATTGATGTTAAACGTCAGTTAGTGTAGGGTTCCGAATATTTTGAAAGTATCGATACCTACTCGATACCAAGTATCGTATCAAAAGTATCAATACTACTTGGTATCGAGTACATTTCGTTAATTTTGGAGACGAAAAATTATGACAAACCAATTAGATGCATAGGAAGAGCTGATAAGTGCAATTATATATGTATATAAAGTAGAATAAAGTTTACTCTATTTAAGTTCCACCTTAGTACTTGTATTTCATTGTTTGCAACTTGTTTGTATTTCTTAATTAGTACAGCTTTTGTACTTTTATTTTATTGTTTGCAACTTTCTGTATTATCTAATTCTTACTACAATAAAATGTTTACTTACTTATTGACTTACTTATTTAATATTCAAAAAGTACCCAAAACCGAATCAGAGCACCCAACTATCCACGTGGTCTTGTCTGCCCTACCCCTAGAGTGTATATAAGAGCCCGGAGGCGCGGAGGGAGAGCTGAGCAGGTGTTAACCTTTTTATCTATTATCTTCAACGCCTGCTTCAACCTCAGTTATTTCCCCACTACGTGGAAAGAGGCTACTGTGATTGGAATTCCCAAGCCAGGCAAGCCTCTCAACCTCCCCTCCAGCCATCGCCCCATTAGCCTCCTCAAGGCAATGGGCAAGCTCTTCGAAAGAGTCATCCAAACGCGTATGAGGCGCTATCTGTTTCCCACAGACGGCGACCTTCTTATCATTCCCCATCAATTCGGTTTCCGAGCCAAACACTCATGTCCCCAACAAGTTCACCGCATTGTGGAATATATCCTCAGCGGTTTCTATCCTCGTCGTCATAAGACCATCGCGGTCTTTTTCGATATAGCTAAAGCTTTCGATAGAGTCTGGCACACAGGCCTCATCTACAAGCTCTACAAAATAGGTCTCCCCGATCGTCTAGTTCGTCTCGTGGTCTCCTATTTAAAACATCGTACCTTTCGTTTTAGACACGAAGGCACGCTTTCTTCACAGCGAACTATCAAGGCTGGTGTCCCTCAGGGCTCAGTACTTGCTCCTCTGCTGTACATCCTGTTCACCAACGACATTCCCATCCCGTCGAAAGGTGTTCAACTCTCCCTCTTCGTAGACGACACTGCCATCTACTGCAAAGGTGTCTCACTACCCTTCATACGGAACAAGATCCAAAAGTCAGTTGATGACCTAGGAGCTTGGTTCAAAAAATGGCGCATCGATGTGAACCCGGAGAAGAGCTCCGCCGTTCACTTCGATTATAAACGACGCCGTCTCAAAAACACTCCACCAATACGTATGCTAGGGACCCCTGTCCCTTGGCATACGTCCGCCAAATATTTAGGTGTCACTCTAGACACAGGGCTCACTTTCAGGCCCCACGTCAAAAGAGTAACCCGTCACGCACGGTTTTATCTGAGTAGGCTCAACAGTATGTTGGGCCGACACAGTAAAATGTCCCTTCGAAACAAGCGTACCCTTTACAAGGTCTGTATACGACCAGTCATGTCCTACGCGGGCCCCGTCTTTGCCCACGCAAACCCTAATATTATAAATGAACTCCAAATAGTTCAGAACTTCTTCTGTCGTCGAGCTGCGAACGCACCTTGGTACGTCGGTAATGCCGACCTTCTTCGGGACTTAGAGCTCCCAACAATTCAACAATTTCTAAAAAAACTCTCTGAGAACTTCTTCAAAGCCTCAGAGTCGCACCCAAGCCAATTAATTCGTGAGGCAGCTTCTTATGCAGCCCCACCCCCCCTCTCGCTATTGTGTCCGCAGGCCGAGAAACTCTCTCTCGGACCCGCCTAATAAACTGTCAAACGACCTGAACTGTCTCCTGACGGCTCAGGCCAACTCTAATTAAATTAAATTATTGTAATAACTAACATTAATTTGCCTTCGTAGGCACTCCCTCAGCGGCACTTAGCCGCCTGCGCCCTCTTTTCCCAAAAGAGGGTCGCTCATGATAAGGCACAATACAGCTTAATCATCCGGATGCCTGTCCCCAAAGGCGGTATTTAGAGGGTATCACTTAGGGTCCCCGGTAGGACAGTGAGCCCCTCATAACCACGATAGACCGGCTATCGTGGTATGCGTAATGCATTTTCCGCCTCCCTACGTATAGGGTAGCCCTTTAATTGCTTCGGGCGCAAAAAAAAAAAGGAGGAAGAGCAGTGCCCGCCCGCCGTAGGGAAGCGCAGGCACCGAGATCGCCGTAGCGGCGGAGGCTGGTCGCCGAAGGCGACCAAAAAGCCGAAGCTGCGAAGGCGAGCCCAGGTGCCTGTGCTTCCCTACGCTAGGGCGGAGGCACTGCTCATCCCGCAGCGACGGAGCTGCCACGGAGCGCCGGAGCACAACTTCCCGGCTTCTTACCCCCCTAGTCTCCAAAATTAACGAAATGTACTCGATACCAAGTAGTATTGATACTTTTGATACGATACTTGGTATCGAGTACGTATCAATACTTTCAAAATATTCGGAATCCTACACTAATTGACGTTTGACATCAATGATTTGTCAAATTCATTTTGTAATTGGTGTAATTGCGTGTTATTTGCCAATTTGAATCAAAAGTTTAAAAAAATATATCTCATGTACCGTAAGTTTCCGCAACCTAAAACTTTGCAAAACGCTTTCTTTTAGTGAGTAGTATCTACAAAAAAATATGGGCTTTGAAATCGATGGTCCATATTGGAAATATTAACCATAAATATAAAAATACGGGGCGAAATTCAAAATTCCGATTATCGTCATTAAACTTAGACAGACCATTTAACCCAATGGAGTCGCTTCGCATGACTATTCATCTCTGCCAAGGTATTGGATTTAAAAAAGACAGAGGCTTCTTAGCTCATCCTTCATATTATAAATTAAAAGTAGCAAAAAAATGTGATCTCCTTAAGAATAAATTTTAACTACTGAAAGGGAAGCAAGTGTCTCACTTCACAGTTTATACACACCATTAGTACTAAAAATTTCACAAAATTGCTAACAAAAGCAGAAAAACATAATATATTGTACATTTGAGGGTTCGTGGGGGTTCGATGGTAGTACACAACAGTTTTTTTGTAAACAAAAGTTTTTAGATGATGGTAAAGAAAATGAAAAATCGAAAAATCTTGTAAGTTTATAAAAACTGTTTACGGAATCAATGTTATCATAACAAGAATCGTTTCCGCCGAATCGTTTGGTTGAATGGTCTAAGTCATTATAGCACGAAACGAAAAAACACATTCTAATTTTATTTACATATATTTGTAGTATTAAAGTATAACGTCGTGGTTATATACTCTTTAGAATAGAGCTGTCGATGGATACATGTGGCTCAGGACCGTGCTTTGTGGCATTCCTTGGGGAAGACCTATGTTAAGCAGTGGATTTGTGAAGGGCTGTAATGATGATGATGATGATCATGATGGTGGTGAATAAAGAGATTCGGCGTAGCTCTGGAATTGAACGCCCGCCGTAAGTTTCAATATTAATAATGCGTATTTAATTGACTTCGACTACATTGATGATGTTCTCATTTTATTTATATTGAAGTCGGTTGTACAAAATTTTTAATTTTATCACTTGTTTATTTTATTTTCGTTTTAACTACTTGCAAGGTCTGCATTTTTTTGACAACACTACATCGTAACTGTACAGTCAGTAAATCAGGGAGCGGATTAAGGCTCACTATTTACGAATGCACCCTTCACGCATTGCTTTGTTTACTGTCCACACATGTCACCTGTTTCTCTCTGACGCCCCATCGGCTCCATTGATCTATGTATTTTAATGTTAGATTGTAATAAATTTAATAAGTACTGTTGGTTTTTCAATTACTGTTCAGTATGAACTATTAATTACATGTTTGTTATCGTTAGTTACAATGTATTTTTTTGAACATTAGAGTAACAAACAAGCTTATTAAATAATACCACCCGGCAGCTTCGACAACTGTTTGTAGCCCATGAACACTTGCAATCATCTCCAAATAAAGAAAGCAACAATATACATTGTCCCGTTTCGAATCTATTACCCCGACGTATTTGTCTGGTATTCCGACTACAGATTTATGTAATAGTTAAATAAACGTCATCTTTAATCATTGAGCTATTATGTACTACGAGTAGATATTACTTCAATTTCTTTAATCCAATAGCGCTAAATATAACTTAGTAATATAATAAGGGAACTGTGTAAACATATAAATAGACATTCGAATAGATTTTATTAATTTAATAAAGATCGTAAATGTTATTTATTAAAAGTAATTTGACGTTTAATTAACATTATAAACTCATGATTTTTCTGTAGGAATTGTGTCAGGTCATGAAATTTCTTGTTGTATTTTTGAAGATATAAAATCCAAGTTTACTTTAAAAAGATAAACCCAGCAATTTTTAGATACTGCTGAAAGTAATTTATTTTAATATATGACTTCGTAAAGTTACAGTGTCTTAATCATTGATTTATTACACCTTTTTCTCAACGACTCATATTGGTCCTTTAATAATCTTTTGAAACTTCTTATTTCTCTCCTAAAACAAGGGGTTACTTGAGGCAAAAATTCGAATTTTGACCCTAATTGTTTATTTGAATAAAAGTTTACAGAAGTTATCTACGTGAAAAAGTATTTTAAGAACTATCTGTGGTATTTATACATATTCAGACGAAAGGGTACCGAAAAGTACAGAAAGCTCAAAAAATTTATCTATATTCCATACCTCCAAGCTCAGGTATCCGGTGGTAAAACATGCCAGTCCGCGCCAGCCACTCTAGTTGCATGTGATGCAGCACTCGATCGCCCGGGTGGTGGAAAGCGGACGGTAGCGGAGCACCCGGAGGCATCGCCCCGGGCTGTGATAGTTGGGGGTAGTTGAACAACGAGGACTGAGCCGCCACTAAAGCCGGATTCTGTGGCAGGAGTCCCGGCTTCGGTATTATACCTGGTGATAAACATTTTATTAGGTTCATATAGTAATGGAGTCCATTTTTCTAATATTTTATCAAATTCATTAATATGAAAATAATTTGGTTAAGAATTGTTGCAAAAATCTCTTATTAAGTACCTACTAATACCTGGATGACTCGGTTTTTTTTTTGAAATCGTGTGCTTTGGATAATTCGATACAAATTACATACTGATGAAACAGGAATAATATTTTTTATGTAATTGACATAATAGAAAAAACTGAACTAGTTAAGTATTTGAATAAAAATCATGAGTGCAATTAGTTTCATTTAAATTTTCGTATTTTTAAAAGAATACTAAAAAATGGCTCTAAATAATAGTTTTTCTCACAAAAGAAGGGAACTTGAAAAAAAAATTAAAAAAAAGTCGGACCGAACACAGGACCCGAACCAATGCACTACGATTTCGCGACGGCCCGATATCCACTTGAGCTATTACGATCGTTAATACAGTATCAAAATTTACCTTCTTATATTGTAGCAGTTTTTCACTGTCTGAAAACACGGACAAAACGACATTTTCTAAAAATGAATCCTATAAATTTATTTCCCCCCGAAACCCTCTGGACACAAATTTTTATGAAAATCGTTGGAGCCGTATCCGAGATTCCTTTATATACAACATAAACCGGTCCTAATGTGTATAATAGTATATAAAGCATAGGACTCTCGGGCCAAAATTTAATTAAATATAACGTTTTTTAATATATATGCTTGAATATATATATATATATATATATATATACAAGAATTGCTCGTTTAAAGGTATAGAATATATTAAGTACCTACTATAATATACTTTTATTCAATACGCGAATCTCCGTGGCGCAGTGATTACGTAATGAGTTGCGGCGCTGGGGTCGCGGGTTCGATTCTCGCACAGAACAAGTATATTTGTTTCGCCTACAAACAATTAGACCGGGTATGAATATTTATCCTTGTCATATATGTAAACCATGGAGTAACATTTAAAAAAGTGATTGCCAACTTGGAGAAGGCCTACGTCCCAGCATCAAAAATCTACAGTTAGATATACATATAGCTTACCAGGTCTATAGCTTTCATATTCTTCAGCTCCAACTTCGACTCCCGGTGAAATCGGTGGACTGTAGCTCTCTGACCTGTTTCCGTCATCGGAGCCCGGCGTCCCACTCCGTTCGGGACTGCTCTGTCCCGAACGTGGACTCTCACTTTCAACCCTATCGAACCCTTCCGAACTGCGATTCTGACACCTGTTTATCATGTTGTGCTCTATTTGCGCTTCATAATTTTCATTCTGATATCTCGCTATGTAGTTTTTGTTTTGTATAAGTGACAGATATTTTTGTTGAGCCATCTTTTCTTGAATCGAACTTTCTGGTTCCATGTGACGTGAGAGCAGGGCATCTATGCAAAAAGACTTTTTTCCTTGATTTATTATAGTTTTATCTTCGTAATATTTCATGTTTTTTGGACTGTTCGATCGACTGGGGTCGGGATTGGAGTCCTGGTCAATTTCGAGGGGCTTCTCCTGCATTTCCTCTGAGTCTCGTCTGTACATAGCTTGCGGTAAAATTTGTGAGGACATGACTTCTAAGGTTGACTCCGCTATCAGCAATTTACATCACAACCCTGCAACAGATATATTATTGTTAATTACACATCATCTCACAGAATACCAGCGTAAAATAGTAGCTTAATGCTGCTGTGTTTCATATGATGAGTGTAAAGAACCGGAGACCCTTTTTACTGGAAACGGGGCATTTCATCTTAGTCCTCACGGGTGACAACGTATGTGCATTTTGATTCGCAAATGAGGATAGATGTCGATGTCTATGGATCACAGCAACCAATTACCATCAGGTAGACCGTGTGCTCGCTTGTCATCCTTATCATATAAAAAAACATAACAATGAACCGTGGTAGTTTCGGGGCTCGCTGCTCGCTGTAAACAAGTACGGGAGCAAGCAAAGGTCAGGTGCTCGCTGGCACCAATGAAATTAGTAATTGCAATTTTATATGCTGATGATCACATGCTCGGCGAAAACATCGCGTCAAAGTTGTATATGTAAGAAATTAAAAAAAAAATTGAACACATCTGTAGTCCCGCCAACACGCATTGGAGCAGCGTGGCGGATATTTCCTTCCCCTAAAACCTTTCAAAAAATAAGAGGAGGTCCCCAGTGGGACGTATTTATACTGTAAATTTACTTTACTTATACATAACAAACCTTCACTTCATCTCGTCGATTAGGTGGTTGCAATCAGAATTGAGAATAGAAAACAGCATTGAATGTTTGAAAAGAATAGGAAAATAAAAGTAGTAGAGACAAGCAGTAGTTGTATTGTTACACGATATAATTGCATCGGGAAAGGATCACGATAATATCGAGATATTAATGTATTTCCTTTAGTAAATTATGGTTATCGAATTCCTTTTTACTGGTAACGGAGTGTCATCTGCCATTTGAGACCTGAGAAATGACAACACATATGTATTTTGATCCTATTTACCATTTCTATCGGCAAATAGTAGTGAATGTGCTGTTTTGTTTCGGTTTGCGATGTAAAAGAGCTAATATAATTGTAGGCTGTAATACATTTTACCTTAGTCCATAAGGGTCAAAATGCACATGTAGCGTTTTTTTTATTAATGTTGGTTGGAAGAGAAGTAGGCTGCAGGAGTCGCGAATGTGATTTTATCAATTTATTTACATCTCTATATAGGGATATCAATTTGCTCGTCAATTACTAGTCATTAAAAGTTAATTTAATTGTAATCTGCATAAAGAAGTTAAATGAAGAATAAAGAATATGAGGAAATATAAAAACTTTCTTAAAGATACGCAACTTACACCGTTTGACAGAGGCTTGCTCTCGTTTATGAGAAGGTTATAAAGCAATTAACTTTAATTATTAATCAACGTTTTGGACATATTTTTATTCCTAAAATAACCTTAGTTTGCTCACGATGTTTTCTTTCACCGTCAAGCACGTGGTAGTAACAATTTCATTGAGCCGGCGAGGATTGAACCTGGGTAGCTTACGTATCGTGACATTTAGTCGTGAGCACTTAGCCTCCAAGCTATTACAGCTCTTCTCTTATTTATTTCAATTTAAATGCAAGACATATTTTACTCTCAAAATTAGCAGTAGAAAACAATTAAATTACGGTTTCGTAACGCAGTGGTTAAGCGTTTGGTCGTGGTGCTGAAGGGCCACGGGCTGGCATCCCACATGGAACCCTATAAATAAGTGTTTCGGCTCTGGATGTGTGTCTTGGTGCAATTTATCCGACGGCTCCGTGGCACCGTAACTTGGCATTGAGTAACAGCTGGTAAATTCCGCACGGAACAAGTATTTGTATGGCCTACAAATAATTGTTTCGGGTCTGGATGTTCTTTTGAAATTTATGTATGCTGCCTCCATGATATAGGAGAAAATCTAGTTTGGAGGTAACGTTAAAAAAGAAGAGATCAAAAACAAACAAAGATTATGTATGTTGACTGCCTCTGAGGGACAGGAAAACCCCTAATGTGCGGTATGTAACGCATTTAAAAAAAACACTGTAATCAAGTAACATGAGTAGGTATCTCAACTTCGTCTACCAGTAGATTTCGAATCAAATAAGCCCTTGTTATTACAAATAAAATAAATTAAAATATTAATTCATTCATCAATACATCATTATCACCATCACAGTTTCATCACAGCGTCATCAGTCAGCTTTTTAAGTCCAGTAATTAATATATGCATTTCGAACATACATGCTAGCTGTCATGCATTTTTGAAAGAATTCCTCATGTTCACCACATTGAGCGATCTGTTGCTCTCAATTATCTATGGGATTCAGGTAGACATTTCTCCATTCTCCTGGTAGAATGTTCTCCAGACCGAAATTCACAGTACCTAATCAGCCTTAACGGAGTCTAACCATCGGCGCAGGATAAGATTATATTGCTCAAGTGTACGCACAAGCACCGGTGCACTCTCTATTCCCTCACTCTCATAATTCGATGGGACGGTAGACCTACACGACCGAAGAAAGATCAGGCGCCAGACCAACGGCTTTACGTGCTTTCCGAGGCACGTAGGTGAGGCACCGCCAACTTTCCTGACTCCGGGCAGATAATGAGAATTTTTTGACGGAAAAACTTAATCTTTTTTTGGTCCGTCTCGTGATTCAAACCCAGGACCCCATGATCAGGATAAATGCACAGAATAAATAATAGTACCTACTAATGTAAAATAAAGCTCGTTTATTTATGGATATTAACGAGACGTCAAGAAAACTAAACATCAAAATAATTGTTTTTATTTTTTTTTAATATTTCATTTTGTTCGTTTTTAAATTCAAATGACGCTTGTAGAACAATTTTTAACGAATATGACATGAACTCAAGCTTAAAAGATCTTTGAATTAATAAACTGACACTATCTAACTTTAATGAAATAGATAACGATGATAATAATAATAGAGTGGTTACCTGTTAATTAAGTTATATCGAAAATCCAACAAATGTGGTTTCATAATAAAGCCATCATAGTATTTTAATATTATGTTATCATTTGCATCGACTGACACGCGACGCTTTGATATGCATTATTATAAGATTATTGGCTCTAATTACTGGCTGCTTTATTTTTTTCTTCATGCTTTAAATAAAGAATGTCAAACAAAATAGTAAAAAAAAATTGAATTATTATTGTAATAAGTAGAGTGTAGTGTAGTTTTTTTATAGAATGAGGGCGACAAACGAGCACACAGTCTACCTGATGGTAAGTGTATTTTGTGGCCCATAGACATCTACATTTACCCTCGATTCAGAATAAAAACGCAGATCAAGATGGAATGCCTCTATTCATCCAGTAAAAAGGGTAAAAAGCTGCTATTAAGAATTAGACTGTGTGAATCTCACGTTCTATCAAAATTAAACCACTGCATTGCAGTGTACGGACCCTGTATTTTGGAAAAGTCACAACGTCTAATTCAACGTATACGAAATGCATGTGCACGATACTGCTTCTCAATACCGAAACGGTCTCATGTAACACCTATTTTCAATGAAGCAGGCATTTTAAAAATGAAAGCGCGGCAGAAACTACACCTAGCTAATTTACTGTTTGATGTTGTGAAAACTAAGTCGCCACTATATTTATATAGTAAACTTATATGGAGAAATCGACAAAACATCAGGTCTTGTACGAACCCACTTGCCAACCCCACTTACTGTTCTGCGGCTTTTAGAGGTAGTTTCAAATATATAGCTACTAGGTGCTGGACCGACATTCCTCCACCTATTCGTGAGTGTAATTCAAGGTATCATTTTAAATCACACTATAAAAATCATTAATTACACTTACAAAAAGCTCAACCTTAAGCCTAGAGCAGATGTTTATTCCAGTATCGTTGAGCATTATATGTTTGTTTCGTAGTATGTATTTACCGAATATATATATATATATATATATATATATATATATATATATATATATATATATATATATATATATATATATATATGTATGTGTATGTATGTGTGTGTGTTATATATGTGTCTGTGTATACGTATATAGTGTACGTATTTAAAAATTTTTATTTTTTCATTTTTATATTAAATTTATGTGTATAATATGTCTTCTACGTATGTATGTATCTCTAATGTACTTATGCGTGGGACTAATTATATATAGGTATATTGACGAGCAACGTTTAGTTTTAATTTACTATGGAAACGTATTTCATAAAATACACCCAGGCAGATCGTGCGTGTATCTGTGGTTATGACAGAATCATCAGCGCTGTAGGTTACCCTGCAGCATTACGCTGAGTCATAACCTTTTCACTGGCTCGATACACCCCCCATCACTTGTAATATTAATCTGCTAAATTTTAACTGTTTATTATTTTATTTTTGTGATGTGTACAGTTCCAGTGAATAAAGGTTTTTCTTTCTTTCCTTCTTTCTTTCTTTCTTTCTACTTTCTCTTTCTTTGGACCGACCCATTTGTACTACAATACAATTCAACTTATTGCTGCAGAGTGGCTCTACTATGTATAAAAACTGGTAGAGACTACTCTACATTGTAGAGTCCACAAGGTCTTGACTTTAACTATGTGTTCGCCTATTTACCCTTGACTGGAGCCAATCAGCGACGTGTTTTCGAACGTGTACCTAAATGGGTCATACAACTGGAATCGCTCTAAAGTGCCCATAAAAAGCTGGTTGTGATGCAACATATTAAATTATATAAAAGTATTTTTTCGTAGGTTAAGGATGACAAACAACTACACAGTCCACTTCATGGTAGGTGTATGTTGCGGCCCATAGACATCTACATCCATCCTGGATTACGAATCAAAATGCAGATGTCTCGTTCCTGTGAAAATATCTCCGGTTATCTACACTGACCATACGAAGGACATCAGCTTTAAGCTGCTATTTTACGCTAGCATTCTGTAAGAGCGTGGTCCTTCCTCGGTCGAGCCGACTCACAACCATACTACTAATATAGCTCCAATAGCTTTATACGTACGTGATAGAACCATGCTGCAGTTATATTAGTGGTATAGTTGTAGCACGAATG